ATTGTTTGGGTTTTTTTTATTAACTAGTAAATTAATTAATAAATATTTAAAAAAATGTTGTCGGATTATCAATTTCATATATACTATATATTTCTTCTTACAGGGACTTGATTGACCAAAACTCAAATCTATTTTACAAAATCAAATTTAAAACAAAACATCAACAAGAACTTTGGCATTCAGCAATCTTCAACAAAAACCTATTTTTTCAAAGTGCTTCCAACACAACAGATTCTAAAGAGCCAAATTTTAGGGCATTCAACGCCGCACTAAAAACACATAACCAGCGATTTGCATTTATAGATCACAAAGCAAAACTAAAAATTATTAAAGAAGTGGCAATCAGACAACACAGAACGTAGTTTCTTTTCCATAAGCCAAACAGCTAGCGTCCTGAACGCCTCCTCCGATGAGCAACACGGTCGTTTTGCCAGTCAAAGTGGCCACAGAAACCCTATACCTCGGTGCTAACCACCTCGCTTGTGCCAACGTAATAAACACAGTTGTTGTTGTAGCAGCTAACAACATCGGCACACACCGCCGCAGCTTTGGACACTCGTACGCGGCACGCGCTGACCACAATTATAGCCGTGTGTAAGACCCTAGTCACAACATATTTGTGCCGTTACCAGCTAAATATCACTTGTGAAATCAATTCTAACTGAAAACAATCTGTATTAAAAAAAAAATAATAATCAAGAGGCTCTTATCTTAGTAAAAACAACAAAAATCAAATCGTATATCTTAGAGCAGCAAAGAAAAGTGGGAATTTTAAGCAGCGTTTTAGGCGCTTAAACGTACTTCTTTCGCTTTTTGTAACCAGTAAGCTTCAAGACGGCCGGAACAATGCTTAAAGTTGTCGGAGCATCATGGCAAAAAACTCGGATAGGGACTTACATCCTTATCGGTGCTGGTTTACTTGTGATCGGAGCTTTCTTCATCAGCTATATGGAACGTCCGAAATATAATGGCACCTACTGTGCTACAGCATTTTGGTCGAAACAGACGGGATTTCACATTGAATACTGGAAACAGCAAAATGATCTTCTTAACATTCCAAAGGGTGCTGCTAGAGTCTGCTACAAAGATTCGATCTATGAAAATGGGTAAGTGTTATAATAAGAAATCATGGCATTGAAGATTTAACAAGTCTGGGGAGATGACACATTTTCTTATACAAAGTTGAAGGTAGTAGAAACTTTCATATCTTCAAAAAATTCTATATAAAGAATGTTTTTGAGCATAAGATCTGGGAGAGTGGAAACACTGGCAGTGGTGTTTTAAGTTCCTTAAGCAACTCTGTTTTCAAGTAATTCGAGTCTCTCTAGTTATCTCGATATGTTGTGGTTGGGACTTCTCCATAGAGAAGACTTTATGAATCCTTGGCATGATAGGTAGTCATGGCCTTTGAGGTTAGGATCTTTCTTGTATAAGTGCACACTTCATCATTTAATTTTTTTTTAATTTCGCGTTTTTCTTATTCTACAGTTGGGCGCAAATAGAGGTGGAAACACAGCGAACCTACCCCGACTGGGTACAGGCTTTCGGTGCTGGCATACTTGAGGGCTCTTTAACATGGAATAACATCTATAATCAATGGAAGAAGTAAGTCAAACTCTATTTACTACTCAAGAGAGCATTTTATAAATATTTACTTTGTCCAACACAGCACCATCGAATCCTCCTGCAATCGTGATGAGAGTTCACAGAATTTCTGCACTTGGCTGCGCGAGCTACTCGACGAGAATTACATGAGCATCAAGGAGACGGCTTTGCAACGTGGCGAACATGATCATTACTGGCATCAGATCAGTCTTTATTTTAGACAACTTGAGGGTCTAGAGACGGGGTATATACGCGGCGCATCACGTGCACGTTCCGATCTCGAAGAGGAAATACCATTCTCCGATTTTCTACTCTTGAATGCAGCGGCCGATATACAAGATCTTAAAATATACTTCGAGAATTTCGTGTTGAAGACAGCTAATCAAACAGATGCCGCTGCGCAGTCAAAGAATACGGAAGTTGAAGTTGAAGACAAGGCAGCTGATGCTATTGCGGCAGCGGAAACCGGACCAAAGAACTTCTTTCTGCCGAGCGCTACAATGCTAACGAAAATCTTTCAAACTGGCGATTCACCAACATGGCGTTTACTCTTTGGTCACAGCACCGCCGCCAGTTATGCCTCAATGTTGCGCATACAGAAACGTTACAAGTTTCACTATCACTTTTCGCCGAATCAACGCTCGAATACGGTGCCCGGCGTAGACATCACTTTCACTGGTTATCCCGGCATACTCGGCTCCACCGATGACTTTTACATTGTTAAGGGACGTCAGGTGCAATCGATTGTCGGCGGTGTGGGCATTAAGAATGAGAATATCGACTTGTGGAAGACGGTAAATGTTACACAAGCACTGCCGTTGGCCGCACGCGTCATGGCCGCAAATCGTATTGCGCAGAATCGACGCACCTGGGCGAAGGCAATGTCACGTCACCCTTTCACTGGTTGTAAACAGTGGATAACGGTGGACTTGAATAAATTGCGACCACAAGACAATTTATATATGACGCTGGCGGAGGATGAAAAACACGATGATGCGGCATTGCCTTTGAACGCCGCCGATGAAGCGGCCATTAGTGAGCGTCACAATCGCAATAAGGGTTTGGTGTGGATCGTCGAACAGTTGCCCGGACGTATGCATCTTAAGGATGTGTCAGAGAATTTTCTAACTGGGGAAAATTCCACTTGGATAGCCAATGGTGTGCCATACTTCGATGAGATGCTGCAAGCTAGCGGCTTAACAGCTGATGACACGTATGACGATATGAAAGCCAAACTCGAAGATGAGCTCACCAATTTGGAGGCAGTCGATCAGTTTATGCGTAAGCATGGTTTCCGTGGCGATCTGCTGGGTGAAGAGTCCGTGGCCTATGGCAATATTGACATTAAATTGTTCTCGTACAATGCCCAAATCGGTATTAGTGATTATCATGCCTTCGCCGGTCCTATATTCATACGGTTGCAGCATGTACAAACGCGCGAGTCGGCGGCAAGTGTGGCCAGTGAGTCCACAGATATTGCCTCCAATTTGAAGGACGACCGTTTGAGCGTGAGCATCGATGATGCGGCGCAACTAGCCGAGCTGGAGCGCATAACCGATCGTCGTTCGGTGCGCAATGACATGCAAGCGATCGCAATGCGCGAGGCGTCGAGTGGTCCCTTCAAGTGGTCGGAGGTAGCGAATCATATGTCGGATGTTGAGCATCAAGGTCACCCGGATGAATTTAACTTTGGCAAAGTGTCACCGAAGTGGGCGTGGTGAGCGGTGCTGATGCCAATCGAGTAGCCGTTTTTGTGTTTAATTTTACAGTCAGCCATACATACACACATACTCCTACATTTGTATATACATAAATACATTCACACACATGCATGTGTGTGTTTTCATTCTAATTTGCCGTGTGGAATTTCGAAACATTTTTACATTATGTTTTAACTTATTCGTTGGTGTGCTACCAAACTCCGTGTAAAAACAAAAACAAATTTTTATATAGTAAATTTTATGATTTCTAAAGAATTCTTATCGATTGCTTCTAAACAATTTTTAGTGATTTTAGTCGTTTGTGAAAATTTGTTCGATTTTATTTTTATAAAAAAAAAGTGAAAGTTATATAACTTTAGTGCGTTCATAGTTTAAAAAAAAACATATAAGAATTTATATTGTAAAAAAAAGTAAACATTAGTCTTCCATAGTGTCGTCCATTTTAGGATGTTCTTTTGTAAAAATAAAATAAGAATGTATTGCCAGTTGTGTGTACAACATCGGTTTAAGATTTCTAACTTTTATACAGAGCAATTGTGAGAATAAAAAATACATAAAAATAGAAAATAATATAAAACAACAAAATTTTTGGTTTTATTTTAAAAAGTGATCTACATTAGGAAGAATTGTCTAGTTGTTTATTTATCTTAAGATAGTGGCATAAACGGACGACATTGCCATCTTAATAGCGGGTAGGTGTCTGCAGACCATTAGCAGTATTATGATCACCAATCGCAATGCAGACCAAAAATTCGGCATCGCAGACGGATTTGGGGTTGAAAACGAAGAAAACGGGCCTGCTTGTGTTCAAAAGAAAGCACAAAATTCCTCTATGAAGGGTCCCTTCGCTAAATGGTTAAACTCTCATCAAGGACTGCTCCAAGAACTTTGGGGTAGTATTGGCCTGCAAATTGCTGTGGAAGCACAATGTGTAAGCAGATGCACGGCACATCCGGTAGGCTCTCTCCCTCGCTAGACTGCTGCATTAAGACAAATTCAGCTCTATGATACAGTAGTACGGTGGACAGGCGTACGGAAATCGACCTAACGGAAGCCAGTGGAAAGGGTTCAGAGACTTGCTGTGCTGCGCTGTGCTGTGCTGTGCATAATTGGAGCTTTAAAAACAACTCATTAGCGGCTTTTAAACTTCTGCCACCTATAGATCTCTTCATTGAAATTTCCCAGCTAAATTTACATATAGAACCTTCGGGTATAGTTCGGCAGTTGGGCAAATACTGACTATATGATCCCACTTTTTAAGTGGATAAGGAGGGTCAAAGTAAACGTTGAAAATGAAGAATGGAGTTGGTGCGGGAATATACTGTCCAGAGTTAGGCACAAGACAGCCTTTTAAGTTGCCGGACCACTGCAGTATATTTTAAGACGAGATCTTTGGTATTGCGAAAGCCGTGCAGCTGGGCTCTAATGCACTCTCAGGCAACTCCAGAGGTAACATCTACGTATACAGCCAAGCAGCCAGTGACTACGCTGTCAGCATCTGGGGACCCCGCGGTAGGATACACTGGAGGAGATATCGATTGTGAGCCCGCGGAGTCTGTTAAGGCGCAGGCATCCTAAAGGACGACTACTAATCCTAGTAACTGAACTCCATCTGGTATCACAAAGGACCAAAATTGGTCTAAGCGTGGCTCATTGTCTCTAATTTAACCTAACCTGTTTATTTACTCTTCTTTTCCTTAAAGAGAAAGTGTGGCGTATATAGGTAGAATAAATATCTGACGACAGCCATAAGCCGATGAGGGTAACGCATATAAAAAGTTTTGTTTGTGCAAACTCCGAGACATTGTTTAGAAGACCCTAGAAGGTTCTTTTATTTCCATTCCCGTAAAAGATAGTCACTTATTTTATCAGCTGATAGCCCCTACAACAGTCGCGGTATAGTTTTCACAGTCTGCTGGGATATCTGCCTTAGCTTTTCGCACTTCTACTAGATTTCTTTTATCATTAATTTTCAACTACAATAGTCGGCATGTGCGACCCAAATTACATTCTAGCCACGCTTGTCTCCTTGTTGGCAAGTTACGGGCTGACTCCATCGGGTCTCTAATTGCAAGATGTCTGAAAATCGGAAGAAAATCTTTCCACTTGAATATCCAGTACGGACCCATCCTTAGCTTAATTCTTCTATCTACCTCGCTCTTTCCCATTTTGCTCTAGAAGAAAAGGCAGTATTGGGGAACGAATTTTAGTTAATTAGAACTAAGTATCTAAATTATCTTGCCTCTTATCTCAGTCTTAGAGCTGCCTTCACTGTCAGTTGCCAACAGAACAAGTCCGTTGGCATTAAATATAAAATAACGTTTAGTGCCTGAATTTGCGTTGTTGTAAGAGTTCCACTGATACATATACTTGCTGTTTTAATGCTTTTACTGCCTCACAGTGTATTTTTTTCCACGCACTGCTGTGCATCTGTCTTCTCTTCTTCCCAGTGCCGGAGTTTCGCCTAATAGTACAACTTCTTTCTTTGAAAAGTTTTCAATAGAAGACTTACTAAAGCCAGTCTTAGTTCAAATTTGTAACATTTATTTTATTTTATAAACTTTTTCTCATCAAAATATCAAGTCCATTGTTTTTACAATAGATGCCTAAGCATTCCACAAAAAATCGTTTGACGCCATTAAGTCTGGATATAAAAAGTAGTTCAATGCAAAAGCTTCGAGTTTCCATCTGCAAATCGCTGCTGAATGGAATTAAAATCGTTCTGGTTTTCTGACGCATGGTTACTGGAGATGCAAAGTGGGTCACTTGCGGTGGATGGGCAGTCAGAAAGATTTTGTTATGTCTTTGATGGGCTTGGTAGAGAATCGCCATTTTGAGCTGCTTCCCTACAGCCAAACTATGGCTTTCTCTACTATCAACAAGCATTCGCAAGGATTGATCAATAGAGGAAAAATCGTGTGCAGTCAGGTCAAATCGAGAGCTTAATTGTGAAGTTATTATGCATCACTTAATACCTATTCCTACTCGTCCCAAGCGGATAATTACCTGTTCCGGTTTATGACCAATAATTTTGCTAATTACAAATTTGCTCAAGAGAATCTGGTGAAAATCGACTGTGCCCGTTAAATTTATTTCAGAAATAATGGTTTTCCTTCTACCAAATCTTATTAAATGTTTGCACTTACTCAGTAACTCCATATATCTCAGTCACCTCGCATGTACAGGTAGTTAAACTGCTTTCTTCCTTTAAAGTCAACAATGTTTATAAAAGTTTCGGTTTATCATTTAACACTATACGCAACACTCGCTTTCTTTTCGAATTAAGAAATGTAAAATAAATTTTTATAACTTACGGAACGTTCGTACGCATTTTGACAGAACTAATAATTAAGAGGGAAATGCGAAATGACGTACATACCGTCAAATAACTACCGTTACTTTGGCGGACATCTATCGGGTAATAGTAACAGGTGCTATTCTTCAGCATTGCCAGCAAACAAGTCAACCTCACCTTTTCTTATCACTATTCTATTTGTTTACATGACAGAGAGAGAGAGAAAGTAATCTCTCTCGCAGTTTACGCTCTTTATCTTATGGTGCCGCTCAACTGCATTTGCTTTTTGACTTCTTCTCACTTTTTCGGCTTCGTTGTTTTGTGTTACCATTCGCTTTTTTCTTATCATTGCCGTTGCGACGCCGACGTCGACAGCGAAGCCGTGTTGGGTTGTTTTGGTTTTTGCATGTTGCCCAAATGGACCAACTGACTACGATTTTGTAACAATAAGGCTAATAAGAATATTTGCTAATGTTTTCAGCAAATTTTTTTATTGAATTTTATTAAATGTTTAATGAATACAAAGTAACAGAGTTAATACAGCGTAAATATTTCGCACAAGTACAAAACATTCTCATTACATTGCTCTCGTTTGCAACCCTGACCATTCGCGGTTTTGTCTTCGCATTGTGTTCTTAGCACGTCTCTCGCATAGTTCGATGCTTTTTTAATTAATTGCAAATACAAAGCAGAAGCAGAAACAAATTTTTGCGAAATCAACCGCATTTATTTCAGACATTTTGTGCAAATTGTTGTATTTTTGGTACGAAAGTGCATAATTTATTGTGTAAGCAATGAGTAAATTCTTTTTGTGATCGGAATATCAGTCGCGAAAACACGCAAATGTTGAAAATTCACAAAAAAAAAACCGAAATTGTATAACAAAGCAGAAGTTGTAGAAAGCAAAATTTGCGGTATGAAAATTCTAGTACATCGGAGTGCATATAGTGGCTATAGCAAACAAGTGTATCGGAGAAAACAGTGTTCGTCATTGGAAATTGTAAAGTGTCTAGCGGACTTGATAGAGATAGCCAAATCTGATATTGAAATTTATTGGCATCAGCGGCTCCACTCAATGGCGGCCGCGGCGTAGGGCGAAAAGCAAAGTCTAATTTGGAAAATTGCTTACTATATAGCACGTAAACTTGTGTATGAATGTGTGCGTGTGTGTAGGTGTAAAAGTAGTGCAAGCGGAAGCAGATAGCAGGTGCAAGCAGACGCGTAAACAAGGAAGTGAATGAGATTTCATTAGTGCAAAATTTCTTGCGTTCCTAATTCGCAGTTCATTGAAGAATATTGTTGTTATTGTTAAAATGCAGTACGGTATTTAGGTTATAGATTTTATGTGCGTTTATTTGAGGTTGCCGCAAGGTACTGAGTAAGGAGTTGCTGCGAAAAAATTGTAAAAAAGCCGGGGTGGACGCGCTGGCTAACCGGTTGCCAACTTTGTCGCCATAAGCAACAAAAATAAATTAAACACATGCATATGTGCTTATTATGCATTCGCAAACATAAAAAAAAATTTATTGAGAACAAATTTCTTCAATTTTTTTCGACGTTTCTAAACGTTTAACCATAACCTTACTTAAATAAATATCAAAGTGTTTAGTTTGTGTAAAAATTTTAAAGTTTTGTTCGTGCTGCGTTGTAGGGCTGTACCTATGCTGGTCACTTAATTAAAAAGTTGCATATTCACTTCTATGCAACGAGCAAAATGTATGCACAGTTACATACATAAATACATGTGTATTACATATGTACACTTGTAAGTTGGCTGAGGCTATTTTAAGCCTACACACGGGCACAAAGAGGTGCACAAATGAAGCGACGCCGGCGTTGTCTGCCATATCAACGTTGCACAAACGCTGGCTGGTGCAGTCTGCTCGATTTTTTACACTTTATATGCTACTGCAATTGCTACCTATTCGTTTGTTGTATTTTTATACCCTGAACGGGCTATATTAGGTTTGCCATGAAGTTTGTAGCAGATAGAAGGATATATTGGCGACACCATAAAAATATATATATTATATAAAAGTCGATTTGGACATATCCGTTTGTCTTTTCAGCTGAAGCTATACCTTTATTGGAACCGCCGGTAATGGACCACTACAGCGTACAGTTGCCATACAAACTGAACGATCGGAATCAAGTGCTTGTAGGGAAAAATTTTTTATTTAATGAGTTCTGTTCATGAAATTTGACATTGATTATTCACCAAAGCAATAGTATAATCTGCGCAAAAATTTTCAGATCGGGCAATTATAACGTATGGCTGCCATATAAACTGACCGATCGAAATCATTTTCTGCTATGGAAAAATTCTTTATTTGACGAGTTATCAACATGAAATTTAACATGGATTATTCTCCAAAGCAAAAGTACAAGCTGCAAAAAAATTATTCGGATCATCGTAATATAACATGTAGCTGCCACACAAAGTGAACAATCAAAATCATGTTTTTGCATGGAAAACTTTTTTATTTGACGAGACATCTTCATGAAATTTGACAACGGTTATTGTCCAAGACAGTGATTCGATCTGTGAAAAATTTTTTTAAATCCAGCCACTTTAGCTTGTAGCTGCCTTACAAACTGATCCCTCAAAAAATTAGATATTTTCATGAAATTTGGCGTGTATAATTGTGAAACTTGCTCTTCATATAGCTTCTTGTTTGAAATTTTTCTATTTATGAAGGGTATTATAGCTTCGGTGCAGCCTTTTTTTTGAACTTTTTTTTGTCGCATATACATATAGTATACATATGTTTTTAATGTGTTTTGGGTGTAGAACGAAGTTGGCCATAATGCTAAGGTGGTCACTCGTAGGAAATTAGTGTGCTATTGTGTCGCTGATGCTACTATTGAAATTACAGCTTTATTTAATTTTTCCTCTTTTTTCTTTTACAGTTCGCAAGTATTTTTGTAATGAAAATTTTAGCCAACATTGCGTGAAGGCTGCAATGGTTTGAAAGTTTAAGAAAAGAGAAAAACAAAAACATATTTGAAAAACACTATCAATTTTATGTGCTCAAAATACCGTAATTACATAGTATTTTTAACATACAGGTAATGTTTTAAAACTACGAAGTCTACAATAAATAAATACAGCAATGCAGAAGCATAAGCGCTAATAGTGTACTAAGAATTAATGGGCGTAAAAACCGGAACCGCAGACTGTTTCGTGTGCCTTTCGTAAGTGGATTGAGTGAAATTTTCCAATAAAACACAAAAAAAATAAACAAAGTTGCATACAACTAAAAGTGAAACTAAGAAAGTAATGCAAAAAACATAAATAATACGAGAAAATATTATAAAAAAAGCAGATATAATACTTGAAATATATATAATACATAAAAACCGTACAAGAAATCTATATACTAACTGTAAACGTGTATTAACTCAGCTGCAATTTATTTACCAAGCGCACTTCACATCTTTTTGTAGTCTACGCCGACGATTTTTTGTGTAATTGGCTATATTTAGCATATCGATGTGCCGCAAGTGCATTAAGGCTTCCTTGTAGTTAACAAATATAATACATACATACATACCTACATATGTAGCATAACGACATATTTCGAAAGCAATAAACACAAATCCGTGTACGGGTAAAAAACTCTTATTAACAAAATTGAGTGTCAAGACGAAATAAAAAATTTCGAAAAAATTTTCAAACAAAAAAACAAAATTGAATTTGTTGACGAAAAAATTAATTTTACTAAAGTCTTTCGGCAAAATCTAAAGTAGTTGCGTCACTTCCGCTCACTTCAGCTGCAACATTGTCTATTCGAACAATCAAACTGTCGCTTCCAACTGTTCTAAATACAAAAAAATAAAAATAAAAAATATATATAAAACAAATACAAATAAAAACTTATGCATATTGTGTAAAATATACATATATACTTATATCATATTGCTAACTGCATAATCAACGCCAATATACCTACATACATACACACAAATATATTTGATAGTATTTAATGTAGCAAGTGTGCCGGAATTCGGAATTTGCAGCAAGCAGTGTTATCTACAGCAAATATACATATTTGTTCAAGTAAATAAACAAACAAAAAAAAAAACACCTGTAAATTGCTCAGCAGTGTCTTCCATAGACCCCACACACTCTTGCTTTATTTAGGCAGCCACTTTTCCGCAGAGGAGCATATTAATAAAACAGCTGTGTCATACAAAAACAACAACATACAAATATAATCATTAATATTTTGCAGAAAATTCTAAAAAAATACCTGTGTCTATATTGCAATTCGCCCGTAGTCGCGAAGTGTCAGCAAAGTAAAGTGCCAAGTGAAGATTGTGGAAAAAACAAAAGTGCTAAAAAGTGTAAGACGTAAAGAAGGTGAACGAATATTGATAAGAGAATTGTGGTGTATAGAGTGTGCCAGAAAGCAACAAGCTAAAGGTGACAGCAAAACAAAACAGGCTAATAAAAACAAAACGAAAAACGGCAAAAACACAGTGAAAGCAACAAAAAGTCAAAAATATATATGCGCTGAGAAGTTGAGGTGAATGAGAAAATTTGCAAAAATTAATGCACAAAACTTGTGAATGATTTTGTGGGCGTGCGTTGTGTGAATAACGTTAATAACAACAACAAAAAGCAATAACATTATAACATTTTGATAAAAAAAAAGATTATATGCGGAAGTAAGAAGAGATATAGACAAAAATAAGGCATGAGTAAATAAAAAGAAAACACAGTGAAAATGTGAGTTGGAATAAAAGCTTAAAACGAATAAAAGATAAAAAACAAAATATTAAGAAAGTTTGAGATTGATAAAAAACAATAAAAAGTAAACAAACAATAAAAAGTAAACAAATTAAAAAAATTTTTTTCTTCACAAAATAAATTAATTAATCCAAATAAAAATTTACATTAAAAAAATTTATGTGACCTTTCTCCAAAACAGTTGATTTAATACAATAAAAAGTGAAAAAAAAGCGATTAGAGCAAAGTTTTTCCAAAAATAAATAAATTAAAGCGAAAAAAATGAGTGAGCTTTCTCCAAAACAGCATAAAAATTAAAAAAAAATTAAGTGATATTTTTCCGAAAAATTAATAAATGTAAACACAAACCATTTCGGTGACTAATAAAGTGAAGTGAATAATAAAAATTTAAAAAATAAATAATTGTGTTAACAAAATTTATAACTAACAAAAATAAATGGCAAGAGAATTGAATTTTCTAAAACATAATAACTGTGTTGAAATAATATTTTGTATCAAAAATATACAAACTAAAATAATGCAACAGTGAAGTGCTTATTAGGCAACAAAAGAAAAACACGGTTATTCCACCAATATAAAAAACATACGAATATTCCTATACAATAATTCCAGAAAAACGAATACAAGACAGCGTAAATCTTTTAAAAAATTATTTGCTAAAGAAAGAAGCGACTTCCAACAATTATACTTAAAACATAAACTACAGTGCATAAACAAAACAAAAAAAAAAAAAAAAAAAAAAAAAAAAAAAAAAAAAAAAAAAAAAAAAAAAAAAAAAAAAAAAAAAAAAAAGCAAACGAAAGTGAGTGCATAAAGAGTTAAAGCCAACAACATAAAATAATAACACAAAATTGTCAATTGTAATATGTGCAGTGGAAAATATTTTTAATTAATACAAATTGTTTGACGAAAGAAATCACGACCTTTGACTTAATACAGTCTCCGATAATTTTAGTTTTAATATCAAAGTGAAATTTCAAGGGGTGTGAGTGCCACCCTCAATAACATCCACGCGTTACAAATTTGGTAAGTCAATATATAAATGAAAATATATTCATATGTATTTTAATTTATTGCGAATGTTATTTATATATATCTATATATAGAAATATTATATATCTATAAATTATCTAAATAAATAAGAATAATTGAACTGATCAAAACTAACCCGGACTAACAAAAATAATTACTTTTTTACTTATTGGCAAGACTACGCTGTAAATATCAGGGGTTCCCCACAGTTCAGATATACTGGAAGTGCTATCGACAGTGAAGCCACAGAGTCTGTTGAGATTCGCGTCAAGCTCAGGCATCTTAAGGTATGATTACTCTTCATGGACCTAAAAACTGGACTTCATCTGGTATCGCAAAGGTCCAAACTGGTCTATTTGTCTGCTAGACTAACCTTATCTCTTCACATATTACAGTTTAAAAAAACCTTTCTAAACCAAAAAGTTGCCAACGATCAGAGCGTTATTTGCTACTTTGTTCGACAGTTTCGACTTTATATTCAAAAACCCATGTCCCGTCATCAGCAATGATCCGTAGGATCCTCGGCAACATCTACTTAACGTTATTCTTGCAAACGATTCAGGTAGTTTTTTACGAGTTTATCATTGATACGTTTCATACCCAAAATATTAACCAAATATTGTATAGATAATGATATGTTGAGACCGTATGCATGATGATTTTCAAACACTGTTTCTTTAGCTTTTTAAGTTTCACGGTCTTAACTGAATATTTTGACCTCCCTAAAAACCCCCTCTAAGGAACCGTCACCCACCCTGTTGCATTTTTCTAATTTAAACTTCTGGATAATCCCCCCGTTTGCTTCACTCTCCAACATGACCCTGATTAAATTGTCTGCCTGTATTGGACCAATCAGGTCTTCTACGGCGGTGCTATCTCGTTGCCAGCGCACGTATTCCAAGAATGTGTGTTCAGCGTCCTCTTCTGTCCAGTCGTTGTGTAGGCATGACGGCTCTTCGACTTTTCCTGTTCTGTGGAGGTAATTTTTGAATATCTATCACTGGATAACAGCTGGGATGTGTAAAAATTTACTTCTCCAAATTTACGGCTTATCCGTAAGTCTAGATCTTTTATTAGTCTGGCCGTCCATCTGCCGCGACTATTATTTTCTTTTCTTTGTTACCATGTTGTTATTGTATCTTTCTTTATTTGTTCTATGGCGCTTTTGTTATTATCGAATAGTTTCTTTAGCTCCCACAGCTTTTTCTTTTCATATGCTAGAAGGTCTACCGCTTATAACTAATATTGCAAGTGCCTGACATTGCAACAACCTCGGGCTGCAATGCGGTGCACTCTGGCCACTACCTTACGCGGGTTATCCTTCCGTCTGTCCACATTTCTGCTCCGTATAATAGGATGCTGTTTGTCGTCGACATTAGGAGCTTTCTCTTTCCTTAGCTTGGGGCATTCTATGTTGCCCATTAACCTGCTAAGTTGGTGCTGGATTTGTTTTTGTCATAAAGTACACACCAAATTACTTCTGAAACATTTTTCACGATTTAGTCGTGATTTTATAGGCAAAACAAAATTTCAAGCAAAATCATTGTTCAATTTCTTTTTCCATAGTAAAAATATGGAGATCACATAAACATAGAAAAAGGTTGTATCAATCTCGTAGTTTTTTGTGACTGGTTGCCATTCTCAAGAGATCGTGTGCATTAATCAGAACTTTACAATGTTTTCATATCGCTGATACAGAATTACAATATTTCTCGCTAAGCTCGCGACAAAGACTGTGTGATTCATGCTGCTGAAAACAGACATCGCGCTTGATTATATTGTTGTTTTTCGGCAACAAACTTTTTTATTATACTTATGTCAAAGTTGACATACAAATAGTTATCAGTAGCGATTTCAGTATAAAAATAACCCAAAGATGGCACAGATGCAAAATTCGCACTAAATTATCATTCCAAAAGAATGTTTCAACACCTTTTTTGATAGAAAGAATATATTTTCGAACAGCAAATTGAAGCTACCTTGATTGGTTATACGATATTGGATAATCTGACCTCTTAGCGCATCAAGCTCCATGACTGTACCAGCAGTTGTGATTAATGAAGAGATATTGGAGCATAATACTTGTCTTTTATATCTCTTACTGCTAATTGATGTCTAGGCAGCAATGCAGATCACATTAAAAAATGTTTTTACTTTACTTAATTTCGTATTAAAAAGTGAACGTTTTACTATAAGGTTTCCATCTCTTTAACTGAAACTTTTTATTTTTGCTTGGGTCATAGTCCTTTCTAATACTCCAAATAAATGAAAAAAAAAAAAAATTGAATCATCGATAGAATACATTCCCATCTGGATATATTTGTTTGACTTTATTTAAAACTTTGTCATGATATTACTCTCCATCTTTTCGATTGCTCTATAATTGCTTAAGTTCCAATATATTGAAATTCTACTTATTAGTTTTAATAATTTCATAATTTTTATTTACTTTATTTTTAGAACTAAAAAGTTTATCAACTCAGCGAATAACCTCCAGTGAACGAAATGCATCAACCACGCTATAGTCCAGCACCTCCTCCACAACAATTGGGAATGCGACCACCGACGCAGTTGCCGCCACCGCGTCCTCAAACTTTTGCAAACGTGAGTAATAATAATTTTTTAAATTGAAGCATTTTTTGTTCAATTATTTAATTAAAAAACTGTGATAATAGTGATGATTTTAAAAATTTGTTTCATATTCAAATGTACATATTCCTTTCAACAATCAACTGAACCAATAAGATTCCATGCGTAGTATAGTTATTGAAATTGCAGCGAAACTGAAATTCTTATTTGGTTTATTTGAAATAAAAAGAGATTCATTTCGATGTTTTCTACTTAAGAAAACACAGAAACACTTCAAAGTTAATGGAGAATATTTATTATCATTCGGAAGAACGTTATTTGGCATTTACTGTTGGGGGATTAACCCTTTCAAATGTTGGTCGCGTCTATGTCATAGTATCCGTTAATTACAATTTTCAATGACTCCTTCGAGCATTTTGAGTGGTAACTGGCGAATGACACGTGTGATGTTTTGCTTCAAGGTCTGAATCGAAGTGATATTTTCCGCATTGGTGGGCAATCGACTGGCCCAGACCTTTAAATTATCTGCTCACCGAAATATACTCTCAATAAATCCATTGATTAACGCGATATCCGGGAAGTGGCACCGTTCTGTTGAAACTAAATGTCATCGAAATCACGAGCTTCAGGCATCAAATGTTCGGTGTTATAATTGCGCGATAACGGGCACCATTGATGATTACCTTCTCATTGACCTCATTTTTAAAGAAATATGGAATGCTGATTTCACCGGCTCAGAAACTACACCAAACCGTTTTTTTTTTCTGTATGAAATGAAAGCTATACAATCTTTTCAGGTTGCTTTTCCTACCAAATGCGTCAGTTTTTCTTGTTCACATACCCATTGAGCGAGAAATGGGCTGAACAAAAACGTCGGATTTTCCTGGAAGTTCAGAGCCCATAGAGCGAAGAGATATCGCTTTGGAAAGTCAAGCGAATTCAGTTCTTGTACGTCTTCAATTTAAGATCTCGACGGAAAATGCTTCAAGTCGTACAATACGTCAGTCAGAGTTGCCGCGAACAGCACCGAATCGTCTCTCCTCGATCTTCGTGGACACTCTCAGTTACGACTGCTGTATCTTCCTCACTGCATGCTGGACGTGGTCTATTCGGTTGAATATTATCCAATAATGCATGAGGGTCTCCAGATGGGTAATGGTGTTTAGAATTGTGCTCTCAGTAGGCAGTTGTGTTAACAATAAGATTTGTAAACGTTGTTCAGGCGTAAGTCTTTCTTATCTTAGTTACAGTATAAATTGACCCTTGTGGCAATCAAAATCTTTCTTTTGAAAATTTGAATTTTTATAGTGAGTTACGAAATCCCTAGTTTGGGTTTTCAACTAAATGGTTCGTGTGTCTCTCTCGTTGAGAGTGCTTCGAACTAATTTTTCATAATTTACATAATTGTTTTAAATAACGGTGTATAAAATATACCTGCCTGCATACATGCATATTTGGAATATACCGAATTTGGTCAATGATTTTCAAGTTTTAGTTGTTCCTTTGTGAAAATTTAATTATTTGCATAATTTAATTTTCATTGAAGAGAAATGCAAAGCCCATTACTTGCTCTGCAAAGGCCTCTGTCTTTTGGCAGACTATATTTGTAATCTAAAACTGCTTACAAACCTTGACAAGCAGGTGGACAAATAAACCAGAGAACACAAATGCACAGCAACACCCACATGCTCAGCAACTTTTTGCATAGTACAGTTAGTTTATGCATTTCACCATTTTGAATATCCTTTAAAAAGTTTGGCCCCATGCAAAATGGAATCTATTCATAGCAAAAACACAAACAAACACACAACTGGAAATTTGGGAGCAGGTGAGCAGCATTTCCAAACTCGGCCGTCTTACTAAAGCATTCGGCGGCACAGTAGGGTTTGAAAATTTGTCGTTTCTCCATTAATTCGGCCGAGTGGGAATGGCAGGTAGGTGTCCAAGTCTGCATTTTTGCCTATTTGCTGCTGAAACTTTGCTTAGCATAAATTTTCCTATTGTTTAGCATTTAATCCTATTGTGTCCTGTATTGTTGGTCATGTCGATTTGCAAGTGGGGTGCACATATCTTGGGTAATATGCGACTACACACGAACATATGTCGTAATATATTTGATATCAAAGCTATTTTCGTCTGTTTGCATGAATTATAAGGTTTTTGTTTGTCCGTCTGCTGTTCATTTGCCTCTTGTCTGACAGTGTATTTTATGCCTCAGGCTTGAGTTTGCCATTTGACGGCTGTAACAATTTTTAATAGTTGTCGCTGAAGTTTTAAATCTCCCATTTTCGATTAAAGCCTCTTGTTTGTTAAAGTACCTGTGTTGTTGTGTGTGTGATTATGAGTTTATATACAAATATTTGAGGTATGAAATTAACTTAATTGCTTTTATTTGATTGCCTCATTTGGCAATTAATTGCTGTACAATAATACTTATATTAGTTAGCAACTGTTTCTATACCTTAATTTGAAACAAATTTGAAATTGTTTGCGTTTTCTTCCGAAAAGCCAAGAGAAATTCTCCAATAAGCCTCGCATTAATCGGTTAACGCACTTTTAGTGATTTTCAACATAACCTTTGTATGGGAGGTGGGCGTGGTTATTATCCGATTTCTTCCGTTTTTGAACTGTATATGGAAGTGCCCGAAGGAAACGACTCTATAGAGTTTGGTCTACATAGCTATAGTAGTTTTCGAGATATGTAAAAAAAAGTTAGTAGGGGCGGGGCCACGCCCACTTTTCCAAAAAACTACGTCCAAATATGCCCCTCCCTAATGCGATCCTTTGTGCCAAATTTCATTTTAATATCTTTATATATGGCTTAGTTATGACACTTTATAGGTTTTCGGTTCCGCCATTTTGTGGGCGTGGCAGTGGGCCGATTTTGCCCATCTTCGAGCTTAACCTTCTTATGAAGCTAAGAAATACGGGTACCAAGTTTCATCATGATATMTCAATTTTTACACAAGTTACAGCTTGCAGGGACGGACGGAAAGACGGACGGACAGACAGACATCCGGATTTCAACTCTACTCGKCACCCTGATCACTTTGGTATATATAACCCTATATCTAACTCTTTTAGTTTTAGGACTTACAAACAACCGTTATGTGAACAAAACTATAATACTCTCTTTAGCAACTTTGTTGCGAAAGTATAAAAATACTACTAGTCAAATATTGGAAATTTCTCTTTGAAGGATGTTAAAAAAATAACTAAATGTTTACGTTTTTTAAAGTCCACATATAAAATAAATCGCTAGTAAGCCTGTAAACTTATGAAAAGTGAAGTTACGTTATTTTGCATTTTAGCTGACCACATATTATTGGTATTGTCTTATTTATATTTTCTCACTCACACTGCGCTTCAAAAGCACTGATTGACAGCGATCATTAATGTTGATATTTATTATTTCATAAAGATTAATTTATGACAGGAGTTTAATAAAAGCCACAAATGAGAATACAATGTCCTCTATGGAACATCGTCTTACACGCGTTATTACCGTTATTATGGCCAAAACCATGCTCCGCATTATATGTAGCATATTTATAGGCGTTTTAAATGCCCTTCGCTGAGCAACAAAGTATAAAAAGTTGACCTTCCTCTCTTCTTACTTCCCCAGTTAGTACATAAACCAAGGCATGTGTAATACTCGATTGCTACAAAAATGATATAAATACCAAATATCCACTCACATGTTTTTGATTAAAATATATTGCGAAGAGCTTGCGTGTGTCATAAATCGGTTTAACATACAGATTTACTATGTGTCACAAAGTAACAAAGTAACGGATACTGCTGCTTCTTCAATGTACCATATAGTCATGTACATACATATTTGTAAGTGAACGTGTACTGTAGACGTGTAAATGTGCAGTTATATATAACATATAAGTAGTTAGGTGCCCAATGTTTGATTTTAATCAATGAGTTTTTATGACATTGTCCGCTTATGAGTGAAAGTGATGATTCTGTCATAAATATTAATGGATATGTGTACCTTTACATAGTTTGTGGATTTTTTTTTGATACCCTGAACGAATTATACATGTGTCAAGTTTGCCACCCTGAAGGAAACCTTGAAGATGCTATATAGTAGTATATATGCAAATACAAATCTTTAGTGTGACTAGCCAAGTCCATTTAGTCATGTCCATCTGTGTATATACAGTTATTAGTAACTCAGCTTTTGAAAACTAGGATTATAGTGGCTCCTTAACTTTTCGATACCATTTTTCTAGCACGATTTTTACCTTGAGCCAATATAGTCCTCAGCTTCGGCGATCACTTTTTATTCGACAAAAATTTCTTCCCAGCGAGCAGTCTTTTGAGATCTGAGAACAAGAAGTGGTCGCTGCTGGTCAGATCTGTCACTGACTTGTGACATGGTGCATTGACTTGGCGAAGCTGCGCTTTCTCTATCTTGAAATGCGGCTGTTTTTCGGCGATTTCACCTTTTAAACGGTGATGGTGTTTTCTTTTTAAAGGTAGTCAATTAAATATGCGCATTATAAAATACAGACGCCATAACCTTGCCAGCCGACTGTTAAGTTTTTCAAGAATTATTCTCAATTAGACTTTCATAATGTAAACGTAGAGTTGATACCTTTAGAATGCTTGCTATCTCCAATAACTTCTCTTTATGGTAATCCAAAATTATTTTGTGGACTTTTTTGATGTTTTCTTCTGTAAGAGCCTCTATTGGGCGTCCACCTTCACCTTCACCGTCTTTGATCCTCATTTCATCACGTCTAAACTTAGTATACCCAGCCTTTATGGTTGATTCTCCTGAGGCAGTGTCCCAAATCTCTCCATCAATTCAAGTTTTTGCTTCAACCATATTTTTTCTAATTTCCGACCGCTGTCAAATTATGCACGTGCCTTTTGAAGGTTAGGGCTAACTAAACATCAAGTGGACTTGTATCAGGCTGGGGACTTTTCAATTGACTTGTTATATATACAAAATGCTCCCGTAGAAGGTATTATGGCTTCGGTGCAGGCGAA